GTTACTATTTATATCCAACTCATTTAAAAGTATTTGGGCAACATTAATCTTGGATAAAGGTGTAATATGATGGATATCACAGCTATTAACATAAGCATTATAAAATTCTTGAATGGAAAGGAATCCTTTATAAATTGAAATAAGGGTGGGAGTGTTGATATGATGTGTTCTTGTTTAGAAGTAGTCATAAGGGGTGGCAGTTTCAGTTGCCTCCTACTATAAATCATTAAATCATTGAATTTTAATACTCCAATTATGATAAAAAAGTATTATTCTCATTGCTTAAACTGCATATGGAATGACCTTTTTTAAGGATGGAGATCTTTTGACGTAACTTTGGACAAATATAGTAACTGATAAAATTTCAAGAATAGTTTTACGTCATTACGGACGCAGTAGTGTTATGTCATTATGGACGCAGTACATTTAAAATGCTTCATATACTTAAATTAAATATAATACTGCTCCCAAAATTAATAATTAATGCGTTAGGGATAACCTTTGGATTGATGGTGATAGAGGGTAAGAGTTGCCCATGATTGGCATGGTCATCTACACCTAATAGTAAATTTTTTTGCCATGAGGTAAGTATATTTCTTGGTCCCAGTTTACAATGTTACACGCAATTTAGATTACAAATTACAATACAGATAGACATTATGAACTTGTTATTGTACTATTATATATATATTATATACAGTATATATGTATGAGTTTAAAGTTCAATAGTAGAAGCAGACATTTAATATATTCAATAATATTTAATAATATGTTTATAATCTGATAAATAATTTTAAATGAGGTAAAATTCTAAATTTTTTTTTTAAAGGTTAGGTAAAAAAACTGAGGTCTTTAAGATAAAATGAAGTAAATAAAAAAATAGTAGAAAGAATGAATATAATAAAAAATTTCAGGTTATATATATATCCAAACAAAATATTGTATCATTTTTATTTCGGATATTAATTATATATATGTAAATATATTGTTCATTATAATTTAATATGCATTGAATTTATCAATACTTTTTGGTACTTAGAAAAAAAATAAATAAAATATTTTTATTTACTAATCTGCAAACTTGAGTAAATTTATAATTTTTTTCATAAAGTACTAGATACAGAATTTTAATAATATTTCCTTCCACATTTTTCTATATACTGTCCAAAATCTTATTATTACTGCTGCACATAAATGTTTTAAATTGGAAACATTTAACTTAGAAAAAATGTATTTTTTTTGAATACCAAAGCGTAATGGCGAATTATCCATTGCAAATTTATAGGTATTATTACCAAAAAGCATGATGGTACTTAATTTCGATTATTTTGAGACAAGAATAACCATTGGTTATAATACACAACCGTTTGAAAATAAATGTATTAACTTCAATAGTTTATTTGTCAAATATCAAAAGTTGATTTTTAAACCACCTCTTGACACTAATAAATAATTAGATGTCAACTCGATTAAATATAGTATAACCTTACCCATCTCTTCATGATGAATAATGATTGAAACAAGAGAAATAAGAGAATTTTTTTTAAAAAAATTCTCATTCTCTTACTATAGGAAAATGATTTTTTTCGCGACTCCTTCAATTTGATTTTTTAGACCATTAAAAACGTGCGATCTGACCGTCCAATTTGATCATTACTTATTCGGAAAAAACAATGAGTTGAAAATCTATAATTGAAATATTTCTCATCAATCTTGTAAATAATTCTAATAGTAAAATACTGCAACTTTTTAACGAGGTTAAATTTCTCTCCTAACAAAATTCTATAAATACTTTATCTCTAGTAGATCTCTTATCGAAAATTATTATATTTTGATCTTTTTTACCTGTAAAAAGGCTTAAAGAAAAGTTAATAGTAAAAATTCTCTCTTGCATCTTGTATAATATTTTTCCTACTGTTTCGATCCTTATTTACCATCGGTATTATATTCTTGTGTAACTGTATTTGCATGTGAAAAACTACTGTTTACCAAAACAATTTATTTTTTCTAAGCCCCTATAATAAAGGTGTCTAATAAGCCTCAACTATCTAATAGGTAAGCCCAATTCAGCCCAATTAAAACAATTAAGTTACACTAAAATAATTTCGTTTCTAAGCCCAATAATAAAGGTTACAAGTCTAATAAGCCTCAACTAATGATAAATAAGCCCAATTCAGCCCTATTAAAACAATTAAGTTATACTAAAATAATTTGTTTCTAAGCCCAATAATAAAAGTTATAAGTCTAATAAGCCTCAACTAATAAGTAAGCCCAATTCAGCCAATTAAAACAATTAAGTTAAACCAAAATAATTTTGTTGTTTTCTAACCACATAATAAAGGTATAAGGCTATAAGCCTAATAAGCTCCAAATAATAAGTAAGCTCAACTAAGCCCAATTAAAACAATTAAGTTAAACTAAGCCAACTGAAACCAAGCCTTAAAATAAACGGGCACATGATATAATAATAATCAAATAAAAAGACTAATCCATCAATATTTCTATCTTGAGTTTTTTCTCATTCTTAAAACTTTGATATTGTTTCCATTAGTAGAAAAAATCTAATTGCAACTTAAAATTAGTATTAATCATACAATAATAATACTGGAATAATTGGATATTTTATTTTATAATCACAGATTTAAAGATGGATGAATGGATCAATAATATTTATAAAAAAATTTGAATCTAAAGGCTATTATAACTATATATATACTGTACATGCTTGATTTCTATATATGGTTGCAATTCTGCTATCATATTTATTTAAGTTTTATGATTAACCTTTAAGCAAAAAGAAAAATATAATGTGTACCGACAGCAAGTATAATATATACAAGAATATTGTAAAATAACATGTATATAGAAATATCCATAATATAATATGCAAGTATAAAAATTATGCTGATATTACAACACATGGTTTACTTTTACTTGGAAGATTTCCAAAGTTATTATAACTAGCACCAATTTACAATTAAGACATTAAAGGAACAATTTGAATATTTAAGCAAAATTAAAAAAAGAACTAAAGTTAACAAATAGTTAAAGAATTAAAAGAAATTGGTCTTTATATCACTTCACTAATATTAAATACATTAATAAAGATATATTACTATTTACTTTATTTACTTCCAAATAAAACTGATAAGATGAATTCAAAGAGGATTAAAGTATAATACCAGAATAGCCAGCTTAGAGATCTTCTTTCTCAAACATTAATTCCAATAAACCTTAATTGAGTTATTTAAACTGGAATTTACTATAATTAGATGCATAATTTTTTATAAAACAAATTAAATAATAAAAAATGAAAATATCTATATATAAAGAAGAAAAAATACGATGATAGGAAGGAAATTTCTATCTTAAAACTATAATTCAGAATTTAAAAAGAAATTTTAGAATTCAATCATCTTTATTATTTAATACCAGTTATTATAATCATTATTTATCAATTACTAAAAATATTATGAATACCTGAAGAGTTATAATTCTTTCATAGTATCAGATATGGGCTACGCAATTTAATCCAAAAAAAGAAACAACCCGTAAAAACTGTGGAATCAAGAAGGACAGAACAAAAAAGGGTATTGCAAAAGAATACCAAAAAGAAACTCATAGTTACAGCTCCAATTAATAAGATGGTCAGGCTTTATACCCCACAACAGTTCTTCGACCAGGTAGCCAACATTACGATAATTCATATTTCAAACAGTACTATTTTCAAAATTGCATTACCATATTTAAAATATAATACTTTGTTGTTTTTAATTATTATAGAACAAATATTTGAAAGTTTATTATTCATAATATACCTATCTAGAATTCTTCATTCTTAGAACTCTAATATTCAGTTATTAAGCAAACTTTAACTTTAAAAGTTGCAACCAGATAGAATCTAAAATCTATAAAATATAATATTTTATTTATTCTTCTAATTACTACATTTTAAATTTCATTATTTATATATATATACCTGTCCAGAGTTTTTCATTCTTAGTATACTCATCCTAGCAATAAGATATTTAAACATTTCTGAACATTTTAAAGTACTAGAAATATACAATATTAAATCCTTAATCCTTACTGATGACCAGTATAAAAGAGAAATAGCACTAAATAATAACTCAGATTATTGCAAAACTCAAGACTCTAAAAGTTTCTTGCGAATATTGTGTACATTTTTCAACTTTCTTTTGGTTGAAAACTGTTCTTAAGAACCATCTCAAAGTAATTACGTTTTTTTTTTTACAAAGGTTTTAAAAATGATTTGATATATTTGCTTAAAAGAAAATTTGAACTAATAAAGCACCAAATCTCTAAAGTTTTATATGATAAAGAGAAATATTTGAATGTAACTTTGTTCTTAAACCATCTATAGACTTGTCATGTAAATTTGAAGGTAAAACCATGTTTTCATCATGCGGTGAAACATTTTAAAATTTGTCAATTGTAATATGATGCTATTCAGGAAAATATTGAAGATAATGATCGTGAAAAAAAAGCAAACATATTATTTGATAATTTATTTGGTCAAAAATAATTTAATTTTACGTTAAAAGTGATCATTTAAAATTTGCTTAACGGACAAATTTAAAAATTTAAAAAAAATTGATCCGTGTAACATGAAAAATCTGATTATAGTAAAATAACCAATGTTGCTGACATAGCTTTGATTAATTAATTAGGCGACGTCTCACCCTAATATAATACGGTGTTTGTTAGATAATACTACAATATGATTTCATAATTCATAAAAATTTCAGTGATTTCACAACTTGATGATATACTATTTAAACATACTTCTCAGATAACTATTAAAGGCTCATTATGTCAATTCTTTTCAGTTAAAATCATCTTAAATTCTAATCATAATATATAATTGAATAAATTTATAAAGTAATTTATTGATAAGTTATAATATAAAAACAAAAAAAAATAAATAAATAAACAAATTATTTAAATTACAAACTAAGAAATATTTAATCTTATTACTCTAGTCCTAGTGTTTAAATAATTTATATAAAAATACATCATGTGTAATAATAGTATTACATAGAAGATAGCATTTTTCATGATTATTTATCTATATCTAAAAATTTATTTAAAAAAAGACTTTAGTAGTGATTTTTTAAATTAATTAAAATTTCAAATTTAAAAATAAAGAATCCTTACTATCCGGAAGTTCCAATTCGTCTTGTTCTTTCGAATGAAGATTTGGATTATTATGTATTTCATCATCTACAAATAAAATAATTATTTAGAAAGTATTAAATTAANTATTATGTATTTCATCATCTACAAATAAAATAATTATTTAGAAAGTATTAAATTAATTATTATTATAATTATTATAATCAGTTTAAATAATTATATTACATACCATCAATATCATCATGATATTTTTTTATTTGTTATTGCATTGTTTCTTGAATATCTAAAAAATTAAAATAACTTTATGTTCAATATTAAACAATTAAATTGATAATATTAATCATCCTACTTGCCATTTTTTGAATTCCCTTTTAATGATTCTTTAGTACTAACTAAAAAATTTAGATTACCAACAAATTAATATTTATATTTTAAAGGAAATAATATTAAATATGTTTTACAAATTACCTTTGAAAATACTATTTTTTTTTGAACTATTCTTCTGATTATTCAACTTATCAAAATCATCAACTAATGATAGATAAAAATAAATCAAATAAAGTATCTTATTATATTGACATAAATCTGATATACTTACTGTTATTGGGAATATGAAAGTTGTATGATTTATTACTGTGAAATGCTAATAAAAGAAAATAATTTATTATTTAATGATTTAAAATAAAAAATACATATAAATTTGTATGGTTAATTTATACCTTCCTGTTCTTCTGCATTATTGTTTAATTAAATAGGTAAGATTTTAATTATTAATATCAACCATATATATTAAAAATCAAATAACAAATTTCAATAATACCTTCTGTTGCATTTCTTGGTTCAGGAAAATTTTCAAATTGATGAACTTTACTCGTAAATAATTTGCTACTATTTGTATAGTTTTCTAAATCACCTATTTCCAAACTATTATCTTCTTTCAATTTAGTTAACAATTCATTTGGTTTATTTTGATAAAATAAATAAATTTCTCTTATTTTTTCCCAAAGTGTACCAGGTCGCTTTGATGGATCAGCATCCCAACATTGTTTCATTAAATTTTTATATTCTAAAGGAGTTCCTGATACAATTTTTGGTCTTATACCATTAACAATATTCATAGCAAGATCATAATTATGTTCGTAATTAATAAATGGGTGTTGTCCAGATGAAATTTCCCACATAAGTATGCCAATACTATAAATATCAGATTTAAAAGTAGTTACTTTTCCTGCAATAACTTCCGGTGCAATGTAAGGAAGATTTCCATATACACTCTTTAATGGTTTATCTGCAGGCCCACAAAATCCAAGATCACCAATAAAAAATTGGGTTTTAAATAGTATATTTCCAGAATGCAAATCTCTATGAATCGCATTCTCTTTATGAACTCGTAAAAGTGCCAATATTATGTCAGCAGCAATTTGAATTCTTTCTTTCCATGTAAGTTGATTATGATTTTGTTGTAAATATTTTCTTAAATCTGTATCCAATTTATTCATTACAAGCATATAATCTCCATTTAATGGATCTTTTGTCAAACCAAAACATTGGACAATCTCTGCCCATTTATTACATATATTTAAATGCGAATTAGCCTATAAAATAAAGAATATATTATAAAAAATTTTAAATGAAAAATTACTATACCATTTTAGATTACAAACCTCTTCAAACCAACGTTTATTTGCACTATCAACATTTTCTAATCTTTTAAGTACTACATACTGCCCTCCAAATCTTTTTAATTGTTGTTGGTTAGAATCCCATTCAATAAAATATCCATCAATCCAATTTGCTGTATAAATTTCAGAATATCCACCTTTTGTTAAATATTTAATATTTTTTAAATTATTATATGGAATCCATTCAATTATACCATCTGGTTCAAGTGTATTTATCTGACATTCTTGTATTAAATTATTAATATCATCATTTCCAGAAGTCCAATTTGAAAAATTATTTTTTAAATAATTTCGAACACAATATTCACAATATAATGTAGCTAAACATTTTTGGTTACAATTTTCACAAACTCTTCTTGTTCCTTCATTATAAAAAATTTTATCCTTATCATAACATATAGTTAATATTCTTATTGCTTCGGATTTTTCATCTTTTGTAAGTGATTCATCAGCAAGAATTGTTTGTTTTTGAAATTCAAATTGTTTGTGTATATCATTGTGAATATTATAATCCGTTAGTGCAGTTGCTTTATTAAGTGTATTATTAATTAAATCATTTCTAATAACAGACATAATGAAATATTTTATTGTAAATTTTTTTAAATAAATTTAAAAAAAAAATTTTCGGAAACGGTCTACTTATAAAGTCAATTATGTGTAACAATGACTGCGTATGTACTCCTGTACTCAAACCTAATTAGTCTAGTCAATGATTTGTTGTTAAGGAAAAATTTCTTTCCGATACATCAAAAATTTAATTTTAACCAAAAAGTACGATAATTTTTTTTATTTAAATTTTTATTTTTTGATTTTCAATTTTTTAATTAATTAATCCAACTTTACCATTTATTTTAAAGGATTTCAAAAAAAAAAATTTATTATTTATCTAAAGACGCAGCAATTAACGATCGTAAATATTGTGACTATTAAATATTTATACATCAGAAATTTATACCATTAAAATATATTAGACAAATTAAATTTGGATTTTAATGTACATAAGGATTGATAGAAGAAAGTTAAATTGATAAACTAACATTTTATATTTATATATGTTAAAAATTGTAATATAAAAATGTTCATAATATTTCTTTTTAAGGATGACTATCCAAAAATAATCAAAAGTCAAATGTTTAACTTTAATAAAAAGTTTAACTTATAATAAGTTACTCCTCTGATATGAAAAAATCTTTTATAATTTATAAGTTTTTCATTTAAAACAATCACGATATATCAGGTATTTACTGAAGTGAAGCGTCTATATACGACATCCGTTTTATATATGATAGTCACTTTGTATTTGGAATTACTTATGATATTTATCACCAAAATCTGTCATTTTGATTGAATAAATAAGTATATAATCACTATAAAAAAAATGTAAAAAGTGCATATTATAAATTACGTTACCTCTTAACATCTAAGTCAACTAATTGAGAATCATGACAATAAACTAAAATAATGAAATAACAAAATTTAATAATTACTTAATTATATTTGTAATAAAACTTAAGTTAAAATCAATACCTTCTTCATCTCCTTGAACACATGAAGTAGTAGTAATGGAATTAACAGGTCTTGGTAAACTACTAAATGTAAATGCGCGGCTAGTATATATAGCATCAGGAACTTTCTTATATGAGGTTGAAATATTTGGTATCTCTTTATCAGCTTCTTCAAATATAGTTTTAATTTCTCCTTTACTATAAGTATATTTATCAGTATCCTTCTTATATGAGATTATAATTTTCGGTATCTCATTATCAGTTTCTAATATAGCTTCAATTTCCCTTGAGTTAAATTTAAAAATTTTTTGACTAATTGAATAATACCAAAACACTAATATCTTCATTAATTCACTTGCTTTTAGTCTTTGATTTGGATCAGCATTCATACATCTATAAGCCAATTTCTTATAAATTTCAGGTGTTCCCTTTTCAAATTCTGGCCTGAGTCCATTACATATATCTAATGCTAAACTTAAATTATGCTTTCTATCATAAAAAGGTGGTTTTCCAGATGACAATTCGGCCATAATTACTCCAAAACTATAAATATCAGAAGATAGTGTATATGGATCTTTATCTAAAACTTCTGGGGCAATATATGGTAAGACACCATATATCTTACTATCAGATTTTTGTTCATTAGCTTTTCCAGATAATCCAAAATCTGAAATGTAATAATTATTTTTATTTTGTAAAATATTACCACTATGAAAATCTTTATGAAAATATCCTAACTCATGCATATTTTTAAGATCAATAGCCAAATTATATAATAATTTAATTTTATCTTTCCATAACATATTATTAAAATTATAGGAAAGAATATTCCTTAAACTTCCATTATTTGCAAATTCTAATATCATTATAAATTCATTAGTTATTGGATCTTTAGTCATTCCATAGAAACTTAAATAATGACTTTTTAAATAAATATTCCAACATATTTTAAGCTGTTATTTAAATAAATTAATAAAAGTATACAGTATAATTAGATATTGAAACAATTATAATAATAATGAATACCTCATTTAAATATTTATCTGATATATTCTGTGATCCATTTAACTTCTTCAATGCAACTTTCATGGGTTTAGAATCTAATTTTTTCCAGCTACCATTATTTAGTTCTTCATATTCCGACTTACCATCTAACCATGTTGCTGAATATACTTTGGAAAATCCACCTTCACTTATTAACTTTATATCAACAAACCTGTTATATAATACCCATTCAAGAAATATAGGATTACCATCTATACTTCTTGCATTATAAATTGAATCTTTAATAAATTTATCAACTTTTGAATTTTCGCTAGTCCATCCTTCAATCATATAGTGAGGATCACATTCATTACACCATAATTCTTCATTAATTGGCTTATTGCAATAAGAACAAACCTTATGTTTACTTGATACATCTTTACAACATATTAAAACAAAAATAAAATTAGTAATCATTTTATCATTAAGAAACAATTAAACTTCTTAAGTTGAAATATAATACCTTCATTATTTATATTTTCTTCAAAATATAATTTAATAAAAGAAGATAGAGTTTGGAACCGGTTGTATTTTTGGAAACCGGATTTAAAACGGGTGCAACCGGTTCGACCCTTTTCAAATCGGTTTTTACAAACCCGGTTGAAACCAATTTTTGTACCCAGTTTTATATTTGTTTAATTATATTTTTTATTTTATTTTATTTTTAAAATATAGACTCGACTGGGGTCGAACGCTAAATAAGAATAAACATGATCTAAAAGAACAATAAATTCTAAGCTAATGATGGACCCAACCTCTTGGGAGGAGCCCGAAGGGGTCATCTTGCCTCTAGAGATTTAGGGGACCCACGCATAGCGTGGACCCCTAAATCTGCTCTCATACCAGTACCCACCTTATGGCAGGCGTAGTGCAATGGTAGTTCGTTTCTATTCAAAGTCCCTAGGGACCCGCTACCCATGTACACTACACTAGGTATGAGCCGACTGCAATGTATCCAAGGCTCACACAAATTGGTGGACCACCATAGGTTGTTTAATTATAATAAATAAATAATAAAGTAATAGTTAGCCGCATCTGAAGTCACGTTCCTGGTTTTCAATTATTAACAGTTAACTTATGGAATTCTACTATGATCTACATCCTGGATTAGAGTTTCCATTTTTGCATTTGGCTTACACTGATTTCAAAATGTACGGGACACGTGACAAATTACAAAATTCTATTTGCCGACAACCCGCATGAATTTGTCAAGTGTACAGTACACTGTAATTTTGGCCAGAATTAAATGGGATCGGCATATAATTGGCCAAGTTTATAATTTCGGCAGAATTACAAAGCTTGTGTAACACAATTACAGAGCATAATTTTCTATAACTGATAAAAATCCCGGTGGCTAAACTATTTATCCGGTATCACGTGATTTATAATTTCGTAATTCAGGCCGGCACTATAAAGTTTCGATATCACACCGGGTTGAGCATCCGGTTGCACTCGCTTTAAACGCAAACCAGTTTTTGCAGCATGAATCCGGATTGAACCAAATCGTAAAAAAAATGGGTGGAACCAGTTTAAAAACCGGATGGTGCATCCGGTTCCAAACTCTAAAAGAAGAATTAATAGGATTCGGTAAATTGTTAAATGAAAATGTTTGGCTAATATATATAGTATCAGGATTCTTTCCATGAAAAATTGGAACATTTGGTATCTCTTTATCAGCTTTTTTAAATATAGCTTCAACTTCCATTCCCTATGAAAAAAGCCTGTGTGATTTTTGTTGAAAAAAAATCCAATTAAATTCACTATGATTTCTGTATATTTGACCATACAATAATTGTGCTAAAAATTGCAATAAATCACACAATAGTTGTATGGCAATCATACAATAATCATCCAATTTATGACCTGATTTTATATAATTATTGTCTAATTTT